CTTTTGAAAAACTTATACAAGGCAAGGTGTACAAATCACCCGCAAAGAACACAACCACTATGCACTTGATACTCCTTCTGTACCTGGCAGTTTGATTATGGGATGGTGTCTGGAGAGACAAATCCACCCAGCATCCATTCATGTCAGTAGGGAGGAAAACCAAGAGCCTGACCAGTTGACAGATAACCATGACCCACAAATGGGATCTGTCTCTGGAAATTTTCAGTGACATTTGTGCTTGCTGGGAACACCCCAATGTGGATTTATTCACAACCTACAGCAACAGCAAATGCAAAATTTCTTTTCTCAAGCAGGCCACAGGAAAAGATTGCTATGAGATACTTTTGCAATTCAATGGAAGAAATTTTATCTGAACAGAATCATAGTAAAACTACATCAGGACAAAGCCAGTGCCATAGTTCCTTAGTGGCCATGTTAACCCTGGTTTGCCAGCCTCAGATAGATGACAACAAATATCTATCAACTTCCAAGAGCTTCGAACATATTCACTCAGAGCCAGAGCCATCATCTGATTTTGCTTGCCTAAAACTAACATCTTGGACTATTCACCTGAGCTAAACAAAATTTTGACTGAAGCAAGAAACCCTTCAATCAGGTATTATAGCTATGAATGGAAGAATTTTGTTGGTTTCACTACATAATTGCAGAGACCTTCTCTGGGTTGACAGATCCATGTTTAAACCTAAGCACATGGTTCTCTGTTTTCTATTACATCTTAAACAACAGGAACTTTCCTAGTTTAAAGTGTATTTGTCTGGAATAGTAGCACATCAGTTGCTGGGCTCTGCAGCTTCTCATTTCTTCAGAAACCCAGAGTTGGAGAAATTACTTCATACTCTCGATGTCCATAGGGCCTTATCTTTTTATATTTCTACAACTAAAGACTATCACAAGTCTTCTAGACTCTTTGTTAGTCATCAGGGGCCAAGGACGGATCACCATATTATACCTCGGACGCTATTTAAATGGTTAAGCACAATCACTTTGTGCTTCCAACTGGCATAGAAGCCACCCTCACATTCACTGAATTCTACCAGAGTGGTTGCTGGCAGCTCTCAGAGAAGTTCAACTCAAAGACATTTGCAAAGCAGCAAACTCTCAACATTCGTCAAACATTACAGACAGGACCTCCAGGCTAAGCTTGATGCTGCCTTCAGCAGAGCAGTGATATCCTCTGCATGATATCTCACCAGCTGGTAAGTGCGCTTAGCCATCACACCAAGGTGTGATTTCACAGAGACCATGAAGAAGGAGGACAGGTTGCTTACCTATACCTATAGTTCTTCATGTTGTCATCTGTGATTTTATGCAACCCACTGTCATGAAGCTCCTATTGTTCCTACATCAGGAGTGGACTGGGGAATCTGAGGAATCCCTTCAGAGTGGGGAGAATGCTAGAAGATTCTGATGATGTTCACACAGGCACAGAAGAAACACACATGTATGAATTCAAAGATGACCACTCAAAGAACTACAATTACAACTAAACAACCTGTCTGTCACCTCCTCTCAGGCATTCTTAGCAGCAGCAACAACAACAATAAAACTACATTTGGTTAAATCTCTCCCCCCCGCCCCATCCACAGTAGTGTGTAGTGTGTTCACCCATACTATTACTTATCTTAGTGTTACAGATACTTCACTAGCTTACACCATTTAGCAGTCAATTAAAATGGATGGAGACAACTACCCAGGTGACCAAACACACTGGTTGTGTTTTTTCATCTCAAAAGTATTATATGCAGCATTGGTCTCAGTGAGCATGGTAACCAGTTAGCCTGCATGGTCAAATACTGTAAAAACAACCATCCCCAGAAAAATCACAGCTTGAAAAAGGTAGAGTAGATGGATTGAATTGCAGTAGAAAGCTCCGAAAAAGAACTGGCCATTTCCCTAGCTACCTTTGCCCCTTCAGGCTCAACACATTTATGAATAGGGAGCTACAGTGGAAAGTGGGCCAGGTGACATAGAAAAAGATGGTTGCAATGAGGATCAAGGCTCCAGAGTAAGTGGTTTAGGTCCCTTGTGTGTCCCATTTTCGAGGGTTGCTGATCACTTTGTTCTTGCTCAGGAGACAATGCTTAGGGCCTTTCAGCGCACTCAGTATTTATTATTAATACATTTATTTGTTTGTTTGTTTGTTTATTTATTTATTTATATTCTGAGACTGGTTTGGTGGATATATGGTCTGAGCATTTTCTGTTTGGGAAGTTTCTGTTACAGCACCTTTTAGAATTTCAGAAGGTTCAGTAATGTTTGAAAAAATGTTTAGTCCAAAAATTTAAAAAATGGGTTGGTGTGCATTTTTAAAACACACACACGTTAGTGTGGTAGTTCGAATCTCTAATGCAGTATGTTTAGTTAAAAATGAATTTATTCCCTGACAGTTGAAGGCAAAACTTTTTTTTCTGAAATGTTGCTTAAAATATAGCAGTTAGGCTTTCAGATGCCAGAGAAATTTTTTGTCTGACACACTAGAACACATTAACATGGTTATCTATTCTAAAATAAGGCATTGTATGAAATTTTAGTGCTTACAGTATAACAATCACAGGATTATGCCATTACTAGTATGGTTTGGGAGTTAGCTAATACTTCAAAGAGTGTTTTCTCTGATTATCTGACATGAAATAATCCTGAAGTAATAGGATCACATTGCACCTTAAAGGAATTGTGGACTGTTCACCTACCATCTCTGAGCAGCTTTGTAGTTTGTTAATGCCAGGCTTTATGTAGTTAGTGTGAGGTACATAGCAGGAAAATAAATAAGTCTAGAACTCAAGATAAATAACAATACATTATAGAAAAAGGAGGAGAGAAAACGAGGCTGGTGTATCTTTTTGCTGCCAAAAAGAAGCACTGACTTAAAGAAAGATGCACCAGCATGGCTTCCTTCCCTTTTTTCACAATGCTGGCATTGCTTAAGTCTAATTCCAAGCTTGCTGGCTTTCTTGCCATGTGCCCTTACAATTCGCTGCACAAAGCTGTAGGTAATTGAGCACTGATCTTATGCTTGTCCAAAGATGTACTGCATGCCTCCTTGCATACGTTGCAAAATATCCCACTGCAAAAACAATATAGTGTTGCACATGCAGAAAGGGGCAGTATTTGTTTGCTTGCTTGTTTGTTTGATAGGCCACCTTTCAGTAAGATTGTGGTCAGTTTGATTTATTGCACCATGAGTTTTTCCACTCATAAATTAGCTTCATCTGTTTCTATGCATAACATTAGATGTGAAAATTTCAGATATATTAAGCCAGACTTGTATTAAGAATTTATGTTGAGGTTTGTGGAACTGTGTAAATCATGGGAGTGACCTGCTGCTAATTTATGAGTTGCCACTCTCATTCCTGTGTGCCGTTTGCACAGCTTAACATACAGCTGGGGATGGAAATAAACAGGTCACCACTGTGATGTACAGAATTACACTTATATTGTCATAAATCCCCAGTAGGCTTCTGATCATAGATAAGACCTAGGCACATCCAGTCTTTGCAAGCTGGTGCTTAAGTTGCTTGCTCCAGACATGGGAGAATTGCAGTTGATGTACATGTTGATATCAAGTAATCAACAAATGAACCTTGTGTTTTAAAATAAAATGGCCATGACAGTAAGGGAGTAGTGAGCCATCACTTCCACAGAAGGTGTCTTAAATGGCTATGCCCAAATTAATTTCATTAGTTCAATATGGATAAAGCTTTAAAGATTATAGGTTATACTAAGTAATGTGTGTCTTCTCCCCTAGCTGCTTGCTGACACTCAAATCTGAATTGTAGTAAGATCAATTCATTGTAGTGAGATCAATTCATATATATGTGTGTGTGTGTGTGTGTGTGTGTGTGTGTGTGTGTATGATATATATGATATATGATATATTCCTAAACATCTTTTCCGTGTTACATGCATTTTTGTATTATTTTTCATATTCCCATTCTTTATTAGGTCAAAGATACAAATTTCAGTAACGCTGAAACATTTCTGCCACACATTCTTCTATTTTCCTATAATAGGAATACCAAAAAGAACATAACGCGAATGACACTACTGAGTTTCTTTGGACAGAGAATCTATAAATTAAAACTATTAAACAATTAAAACTAGTGTGCCAACTGTGTCCTCTTCTGGAGATGTTTGATCTTGCCACAGAGAGACATGCCTTAGTTATATCCTTGTTGGATTACTGTAATGTGCTCTACATGGGGTTGCCTCTGGAAAGTGTCAGGAAACTTCAGCGGGTCCCAAACATGTCAGCCAGATTGAGACTGGTTACAAGGATCACACAACCCCCACTGTTAGAGCAGCTCCACTGACTGCCAGTCCATCTCCAGGAACAATTCAAAGTGCTAGTTCTAAACTATTAAACAAATTGGCCCCAAGGTATCTCAAGGACCACTTAACCCATTATGACCCTACTTGGGTGTTTAGATCATCAGGGGAGGACTTTTCTCTCAGTGCCACCACCTTCATAGGGAGAGAGCCTCTCATGCTGCTCCTAAACTTTGGAATGCCCTCCCACAGGAGGCCAGACCAGCCCCGTTCCCTCGGTTGATTGGCTGCCTGAGTGGGATTTTTAAATTGATTATTGTGCCTTAATGCTTTTGTTTACCATTTCTCAGAATAGTATTTATTTGATCTATTTCATTATTTGTATTCTTATTAGTTTTTAGTTTAAACATTGTCTTTAACTATGCAAACTGCCTTTGTATACTCATTGTTTTTACCTTTAAATATTTTAATTACGTAAATACTTGGGTCCTTTTTAAAGAGAAAGGTGGGGTAAAAATATTTTAAATAGATAAATAAGCCGTGAGCAAAACATTTTTTGTTGAGAATGCTTTCTCTTTCTTTCTTTCTTTCTTTCTTTCTTTCTTTCTTTCTTTCTTTCTTTCTTTCTTTCTTTCTTTCTTTCTTTCTTTCTTTCTTTCTTTCTTTCTTTCTTTCTTTCTTTCTTTCTTTCTTTCTTTCTTTCTTTCTTTCAGGTATTAGCAACACTGAAGCCCGCCAACCAGGAAAAGCACCTAATTTCAGTGTAAACTGGACAGTAGGAGATGCTGGCCTTGAAGTTATTAATGCTACAACAGGGAAGGATGAGATGGGCCGTGCATCCCGTCTTTGTAAACATGCTCTATATAGTCGTTGGATGCGCATTTATACACAGGTACAACCTAGGAAATGGTAGCCCAGCATTGTCTTAACATCTTCTGGACTGAAACATTTGTGGTTTGATTTGGGCAAGCAATTTTTTTTTAGAACTGAATATTCTATAGCAGGGGTTCCCAAAGTATGTGCCATAACAGAGTGTGACTTCTGCCATGGCACCACCAAACTCAGCTAGCAGCATGGCAGAGTTTTCTCTCCGTTTCTTAATTGAGCTGGCGCTGCTCCTGCTGCTACTCTTCCAGCTCCTTCATGTTTCTTTGCTTCCTGCTCCACCCTTCAACCCTCGCTCTGCCACCGCTGCCACCACTCAAGAGAGCAGCTAATTAGAAATGTTTGGGAACCCCTGTTCTATAGTCTTAAATAGAAGAACAATTAGATACATTTTGTTATTACTGCTACCCTAAAGACTAGCAGTAACAACAAAATGTATATAATGTATCTTATCATCAGTATCAACTAGAATAGGATACTTAGTTGCATCTTTTGGAGCCTTGCAACATGGGGAGCATCATTTTTCAATATGTACTGGAAGTGGAAGGTGCTGTCTGGAGAAGAATGGATTGGGTTTAAAGCTAATGCTTTGGATTTTTTTCCCCTCAGTCTAATTTCAAAAGGGAGGATATGAGATTTTGGGTGTAGCCTTTGATTCACATTAATATGTGAAAATGAAACTGTTCTTGGTTTTTTATTAGTAGATAACAAAAATGCCCATGTATTCTGTTCATAAGCAAAGATCTGAGTTCTGCAGTATCAGGATTGGATCACTAAAAAGCTACACATAAGACAGGTTTTCTGTTCTCCTACAGTCTTCATCAGGTGAAGGTAGTATGAAATTTGGGGTTCAAGGAGAAAGGTTGGGCAAGATGTGATGACCATGGCTCATCAGATCTAGACTGCCAGGAAGGTAACCTGGAGTTTTAGATGTCACATGAGACAGAAGTGAAAAAATATTGTTCTTCGTCATGTTCTCCATGAATACGGAGTACCTTCTGTGCATGCACAAAGCCCTTGGACCATTCTAGAACTTAGAAAAGTGAGATCCTTAGCGGCTCCCCCCCAATACTTCTATTTCATGCCTCCCTCAGTTCCTCTTTTGCCTCCACCTTGAAAGCATGTGAGGAACATTCTGGAGTTTTTAGTTGGCTTTGGTGGCTATTTTTGACGAATTCAGTCTTCATGAGTTTTTTTCCCTTTATAAAATAGAATATTATATCTAGCGAAGAGAGGACATAAATCATATCTCCACCCCACTTTCCTGGCCAATTTATGGCTTCCAGGTGCCATTTCTAAAAGTGCCAATGCTGCAGGAACAAGCTCCCAATTTCTGACAGGCATTCTCTGTGCCTTTTTTGCTAAGAGGAGGGTCACTAGCCCGTCCTGGACTCCTTGTTGCGGTTTTACCAAGATTGTTTTGGGACACCATCCAGACCACTTGGAAGTCTATCTTTGTGAAACCTCTGCCAAAATGGACTCATGAATCCAACAGGTGCCCCTGAATCCAACAGGTGCCTTCAACCTGCAGTCCAGACTAAATTTACTTTTTCAGTCCAAGGCCAGCCCTGAGTTCCAAAGCCTTCAATCTCAAAATCTCCACAATCCAAGTCAATTAAGGTGGAGATCACTGCTTCAAAGCCCTTGAAACCCTCAACTCCAACAACTTAAGTCTCTAAATCTCCCTGTAAGAAGAGACAGAAGACTTCAACTGATTCCCCCATGCCTACAAAGAAAATCAAGAGGATCTCTCCATCCTCTAACTGTTCCAGAAACACTTAACATAATCTCTCTTCCTTCCCACTCTAATGAGGATTGTGGCGTTTGCCCTTGTGGCCCCTGCTTGTCTTTCCCTCACAAAAGCTCATGTCACGTTTTCTTCTCACTGCCACCAGTGGATTACCTTGATCCACAATATAAATGACGTTTGTCAGAACACTTGTCTTGTGAACAGAAACAGAACTTATTTATTGAAGTGAAGCAGATTGAATAATGACAGAAGTTCTTCAGATACACATTATACATAAGCAATTCATCAGCAGTTCTCTCAGTACATACTTTTCTCTTGCTACATTGTCACCATCTTCTCTACTTATTTTCCTAACCACCTCTATTTCTCAGTATCTGTTCCCTCTTTCTCTGACTAACTCACCCTATCTGACTCCTCCTTCTCCCGCCAAGCCTCATGTAGCTGCAAACTCCACCTCTCCAGCCCTCAGCTCATGAATATGAATAACAGTGACATTTGCAGTCGCCACAAGGATGTTCTCCATCTCTGAGACAATCCTCCATCTTCCCCTATGTTTAGCCAGTCATTAGATTAGACTCGGGAGGTGAAACCCCTTCAATAGCCCCCCCTCGGTGAAGAGCTTATTCAGTTGTCTCCTCAGCCTCCTCATCTCTGGAAGCCTCCCCTCAGCACCAACATCAACCTCTGAGGGTCACTCAACCTGCCCAGAAAGTGCACTCTCCGCTTTTGGATCCAGAGCCTCTCCCCGGACTGTCTGTGTCACTTCATCATCAACCTCAACCTCTGACCTAATGTTTGATGGAGTACTGTGGGGACTCTGACTGGCTGGAACCACAGTCCATCTGTTATCTGGGCGAGCACATGGACACGTGTACAGGGACACCTTGGTTCTCCCATTGCCACTTTGCTATGTTGCTACTCTGGTCATCAGTCATCTGCTTTGCACTAATACCAGAGTGTGGCCTGGGACCGCCAGTATTATGAGTGTCCTGTTCCATTAGAGGCTTAGTTCCAGCACCAAAGCCCCTTGTCTGGCTTTGACACCTTGATTTCATGCCTCCTCACAGACCACTGGGCCCTCGTCAGACCCATCAGACCCAAGAAGGCTAACAAAGTCTAAGAAGACTGAACTTGACTCCAGAGCCAAAAAGACAGAAGCATTGATCCGCTCAGCCACCTCCCTCACCTTCAAATTTCAAAATTTCCCTGTTCCATCAATGTGGAACTTCAGCACCAGGGATGGACTCATAGTCACCCAAGTCAGTCTCAGCAACCCAACAGTGAGAGCAGGAGCCAGACTCCAGTCCTGATGACTTGTTGGCCTCCGATTCTGACTCCTAGTCTTCGGAGGGCACTCTGCCCTTATTACCACCTGAGAGTCTGATGTTGTGGACTCTCACCATCTGTCCCCTTCTCCCAATGTCCAGTCCTATTCAGATCTGATCCGCCCATCTTGCCAAGTCCTTCAACCTCAAAAGCCTGTTCCTCATCCATCTGTTCCTCACTATGACCAAATTGATAAACAGTCTTCCACACCAGTACACTTATCTACGATGCCATCCTTCCTTGACATGGCCAAGGATTTCTGAGTAAAGCCCTCCATCATCCCACCCACCTGGGTAGAGAGCCTGTATAAGATTTGTAATACAGACCCCATTTTTCTCTCTAAACACCCCCACCTGAAGGACCTTCCCTTTGATGAGGAGGGACTCTTCATTCTTAAAACTGATGGCATAGTGGACAACCTCCACAAGATATGGACTGCTGCTAAGTGTATGGGTTTCTATAACCAACCAGCCCAGTGACAGTTCCGTTACTCCTGGAAGAGACACCCTAGACCTTAGAAAGTCAAACGACATCTTCCTCCACCAGTCTCAAATCTCTTCTTACACCTCCAAAAGTCAGCACCTGAAATTTCAGCAGCACCCCTCTACAAAATGCTGGGAGAGGAAGTCTAGACAGAATTTTTCACTTGGCAGTGACTGAGCACACCTTCCAATACACTCAATACCATCCCTTGCACTGCATTTACACCAATGGCAATCTATCACCATGGACAGATAGGTTCTCTCCATAATACAAGAGGGATATGCCATCGAATTCCAATCCCTACCCCCCCCAGGCATCTTCAGATCCACCCACCCTTTGCCACTCCTATTGCAGGAAGTCATACAGAACTCCTAAACAAAGAAGTGATCAGTCCTGTCCCTCATCCACCAGGGTTTCTTCTCTCGGTATGTTATCATAACAAAAAAAAGGCAGAGGTTTCCACCCTATCCTGGACCTCCACGCTGTCAGTTACTACATCTCTACCAAAAAAGTTCACATGGAAGTGAAATTGCTCCTCTTGTGCAGGGCAACTGGTTCACAGTGATCAACCTCAAAGATTCCTACTTTCATATTTGGCGAGAACATTGTGTCCTTCGTTTTGGTCATCACACTTTCAAATTCAAAAACCCTCTTTTGGACATACCACAGCCCCCAGGTATTTACAAAATGTATGGCTTCTGTAGCTGATCACCTCCACTTCCATGGAATCAACATTTATCCTTGTATTGATGATTGGCTCCTCATTGCCCTTTCTCATCAAAAAGCAGAAAGGGGTGTTGCCTTCACAATTTACATCCTCAAGGGCTTCAATCTCCAAATCAACTTCCAAAAGTCTATTCTACAACTGAATTAATACATCCAGTATATAGGAGTCATCTTGGACTCCCGCAGTGGATAAGCATTTCTTCCTGTGAACAGACAACAAAGGATCTCTTAGTCAACCAAGGACTTCTATAATGGGTTTTCAAGCCCAAAAGCTACTAGAGCTCATATCTACCACTACCTCAACTGTATCCCATGTGAGGCTTTGCATGCAATCTCTTCAATCCTGGATTCTTTCTCAGTTCAACCAGGATTGCAGTTCTCAGGCCAAACTCCTCACCATCACACCAGAGTTAAATCTACAGGTGCCATGGTGGATGTGACCAGACAATATAGCCCTTAGCCTCAAAGCTCCAAGTCACAACAGATGCCAGATTGTCTCCTAAGGCACATCAACAAGCTAGAACTCCTCCTTTCAAAGGATTTCTTCCCCCTCTTGCAAGTAATGTAGTACAGGTGGGCATGGACAACATGACCACCATGCACTACATCAACAAACAAGGGGCCACTCACTACACCTACTTTTGGGAATGGTGCCTGTGGTGTTCGCCCTTGTGGCCCGTGCTTGCCCTTCTGTCACAAAGGCTCACATTGCCTTTTCCTCTCACTGCCACCAGTGGATTACCTCAATTCACAATATAAATGATGTTTGTCAGGACACTTGTCTTGTGAACACAAACAGAACGTATTTATTCAAGTGAAGCAGATTGAATAATAACAGAAGTCCTTCAGATACACATTATACATAAGCAAATCAACAGTTCTCTCAGTACACTTTGCTCTTGCAATATCATTACCACCTCTACCTATCTTCTTAACCAGCCTTATCACTCAGTATCTGTTCCCGCTCTAACTAGCCCTTATCTCTCTCCTCCTTCTCCTGCCAAACCTCATGTAGCTGCTGACTCTGCCTCTCCAGTCCTTGTGAAAGGACATATGCAATCCTCATTGCCCCATTGTGGCACTGACAAGCATGGTTTACCCTCTCCTCCAAGCAAGCACCACTCATATCCCAGTTCCCACTGTTCCTAATCTCCTTTCTCAGAGCAGTGGCTCCATCTATCACCCAGAATTACCAATTCTGGCTCTCACAGCCTGGAGACTTCTCCCATGCTGAGGAATGTCCTGCAGGAGTTTCACCATCCTTCCAACCGTAAATATTACTCCTACAAATGTCATTTCTTCAGTTCACAGAATCTCATGAAGTATCTCAGCCTCCACTCCCCCTTGTCTACTGCTTCTTCCTCTCTCTAAAACAGAAGGCCATCTCCCTTTTCATTGTTACAGTTTATCTCTCTGCAGCTGTGGTGAATCAACCCCACAGGTTCTAATGATCTCACTTTTCTAACCTCTAGAACAGGGGTCATCAACACCCAGTCCACGGCCCAGTGCAGGTTCATGGGCTTGCTGGAACTGGGTCATGGATACAGATTTCTGTCCCCCTGCACACACGCACACTAGTTTTATAACTGGGCAGTTAAGAAATCATATGCTGGGGCAGCCAGGTTTTTTCTGCATATATAACACAGCCTTTTGTTGTTCTTTTTTTCCTTTCTTTCAGCTTTCCTCCAGTCTTCGTTCAAAAGTCAATAAACCAAACCTTTATCATGAAACTAAACAGGTAGCTACAGAATACCAAACTGCCAAAGAGTGTTTGTTCAAAGCATTTCTGAAGGCTGGGCTCGGAGCCTGGGTAGAGAAGCCCATAGAACAGGATCAATTTTCCCTAACCATTTGATCTGTGGATTGCATTTTACTCAGAAGAGGGATTTGGTCTGAAACTCCAGTGTCAAGCATCAAGATTTCATCTACATGCAGTTGATGAGGGGACTTTTGGCCAATTTTATTTGTTTTGTTGAAGTAGTAAAGCTGACAAAAACTGATTATGCAGTATTTAAAAGTTAGTTTGGAATTTTAAAAAAAATATTTCAAGAACTTATATCTGCAGGGAAAAATGACAATGCAACTCTCAAAGTGATTCTTCTGGAGAATTCAGAAATTATTTTAATACATTATTACCAGGTGCATGATTAATGTAAATCACATAGCATTTTACACTACACTATGTGATTCGGTTTTGTGTTTTTTTTAGTCTTACGAGACATCTGATTTATGTGCTACTTTTAGATTTTTTTATTTAATTAAACTCATAGGAAAGATGCACAATAGAAAGTAAGAGTGGAGTTTGGAGAGCTAGTTTTCTTTGCTTCCTTGCTCTTTAAACAAATAGCTGCTGAAACCTTTGTGTCTTTAATGTATGTATTTATTAGTCTGTGATCCAGTTTTTAATATGCAATTTTTTATTTCATTTCATTTTCACTTCCCAGTTACATACATTGTGAAGTTATTGGGGTTTTTTAACCATTATAAACTTGGAACAAAAATATTGATAAGTTAATACATTTAGACTTCAGTGCTTTAAAATTGTCTTATGGCTTGTGTTTCACAAGAACTCACTGGAGTACAACAGATACATTCTAGAGAAGTGACGACTGAAAGTAATTTGTGAAGATGTTTGCTGACCTGCTAAAAACCCAACCCACACACAAACAGCATAGCTGGTAAAAGAATTAAACGGTTATTTTAGAGACAAAGACATTTTAAATGATATGCTCTTTAGAATCTTAATATATATTTAGCCAAAACATTGTGTATGTTTGAAGTTATAAAGCCTGTGATTGTACACACATGAATTTAAACTTGTCTACCCAGATTATTTAAAAATTTGTTTGATCTAAGTATAATAGGAATAAATATTGAATTCATTATATTTATACAATATTTGATCCATAAGCGTATTTACACAGGTCTGATTTCTGAAGAACAGCAGTTGGCTGAGGGAGTTAGTATGTATAATGAGCATAAGGCTTTAGGTTCTTCACAGGATTCTCTGGTGGTAACATTCATGGCACTTGCAGCACATCACTGTCTGTGATACATAGACAATTGGCTGTAGAACATTTCCTGTGTGCAGTGTTTCTGTGTTGTAGTGCAGAAGCTAGCTAATCTACAAAGCCAGTAGTCACATACGGCTCCCCTGCCCACTGTTAGTGCTTCAGAAAATATACCCTGCACTTATCTGTGTCTTGTAAGGACAATGGCACAGACTCAGATTTGAAGAGGAGGGCTTAATATCTCAGCTTTTATATACAGCCCCATTACAGGAAGCTAGATATAAGCATGAAATACTACTAGTGTGTCAGTAATTAAGACATGTAGTTGTAGATGTAAATGTAAAAAAATCATAAAAGTCATAATAGAAATTTTGGCCTGAACTTGTAAATTCCATTCTAATAAAGTACATCCTGTAGGTTTAGCAAATTAAATAATTCTGCTCATATGCATAAAGCTAAATAATGCCTACATGTTTTGCTAAACCAGTGGCAGGATGTAATGCTGTAATACTAGGTGTATATCACATATATATTGCCCTCTACTTGATGTGATGTTCATATTGAAAGTATCACATCAGCTAAAAGTATTTTAAATATTTGTGTGACTCTGTGTAGTAGATAGAAATGAAAGCTAGCTCCTCACTTTTGAATATTGTTTGGGTTCTCCTGCTTACATAAGTGTTGTGCTGATAGATACAAAAATGATACAAGGCTATATGCATGTCCAGGAAAGCCCTGCTGTAATTGGTCTACAACTTTTTGTTGAAAACAGAAGTATTTCACATTTTAAAAAGCTATGCCTAAAAGGCAATATAGCAATAAGTTAATACAGACGTCGATAGAATAAACCAGAATTTTATTATGTGAAAGCAAATAATGTATATGGCATCCTTCATTTTCAGTGGACAAATCTTTGTAGTATTGTGACTTAAATCACTTATGAAACAAAAATAAACCCACATATATATAATCAACAACATACAGTCCCTCTGAAGCATTTTCTAGTTAAGAGAATAAAGGCCAAATTGTAGACAATTGGGAACCAAATACTCTAGTACTTGAGCAGGACCTGCACATAGATTTCTCTGTTTCATGACACAGAGTGGGTCTAGTGATGGGGCGAGTTGCAAGCGCTTAGGGTGGACCTATGAATCTGATGTTTGATAGGTCCTGGGAACAAGCCCAGTACAAAATCTGATACAGTGTACATCTGTGGTGTATAAAAAACTGAAATACAGCTACATATGCACTAACAGAATCACTTTATTCTTTACTTTCTTAATAACTGACTCAAAAACAAAACAAAATTGCCATGCCATTGGGTTTTCCCCCCCAATTAATTAGTAACGATAACTCTCAACTTTCTGATTGTCCTCATGGTTGTGATTTTAATGGTCACTGAAGTGTAAAATTTCCACAATATATTGTAAATTTTCTGAAATTTATTGCTTGAGAGAGGGGGACCATGTTAATATGTTTTAATGTAATAACATAGCCTGTTGAGAACATAATGCTGAAACACATCAGCAGAAACTGGTTGCGAGCTCAGATACACCTCTTCTCCTATGTACGTTGGTGAGGAAGAAATTAGAAGTATCTGCTGCTCTTCTAATTTAACCAGCATTTTCAAAATGTGATTTATAATTCTGGTTTGTAAAAATAATAGTTTAAACTACCTAGGATTCCCTGCTTTGGACACAGCAATATATACTAGTTATTTTACAAAAAGGGAAAATAAGTTTCCCAAAATCTTCCTAATGGAGAGGAGAAAGGGTACCATGAATGCCCAAAGCTCATCAATATTACACTCAGCAATTATTTCAATTTATATTTCAGAATAGCTTCTTTTTGTAAGTGTTCAGTATTTGTTTTGCCTTTGTTTTCTCCTTCCCATCCCACTTCTGTGCCACACAGCTTTGCACTGTCATATACATTGCAATAGTAACATAATACAGTTGCATTATGACTGATGTCATGGTCACATAACTATTAGTACCCAGTCCACATAAATCAAAGCATGACAGGGTAGGATCGTGTTTTTACAAAAATCAAAATAGCAACAATTAGATCTTTAATATATTGTTTCAGTGTTTTATAGTAAATATTTAAGATGTTGATTTAGGCTGTTCAGTACTCTGCTTATTTTGAGTCTGCTTTATTTTACCATGACATCAGGCATTTCTAGCTAAGCAACGCATGTGACAGAATTATATTACAGTTTACTTTCTATGAATACACTGTAAGCAAAGTTATTATTAATTTGTAGTCAGGTTCCTTGACTTGGACGACTTTGAAGACTCAGCTAACAAGCCTCTAAAGAAAAGCATTAAGTGGGTGGTATTTAATGAAAACAAATCCTTTTAATTGAAAAACCCTGCATAAATTGGTCAAATGACTCCAATCACCATTCCAACTATGTATATCCATTTCTCTGTGATAGGCAGGACAAGTCTCTGTGCCAAAAGATGTTTGCTTATCACAGACATGACTAGACCATTGTTCCTTCTCTGTCCCAAATAACCATTTTCCTGACAGAATAAAGATTAGAAATACCTTGTGAATGGTGCTGCCCCAAAAGTGTGGTTGAGGTTTGCAACTAAATGACGTCTGTGGTTTGTTAGAATATGAGAATAAAAATCTAGCTGTCTCTTAATTTTTTAAACTCTGTTTACATCTTCACTGTTCAGGCACAATTTATCAACTGTGAAACATCTCACAGTAGTTTTAGAGCTGAGAAATATATGTTGTTAGAACCCAGATATTTCAGTGAGGCAACTCCACAAATAAAATGGACAAAACTATCCTTGGAGACTGGCAGTTGTGTTTTAAATGTACAGACCATTTAAAAATTTCAGGGGTTGATTTTAAAGTTTGTCCTTTAATTATAATGCTGAAGATGGATACTGTTGGAAGGATAATGCTTTGGTGCATTATTTTATTGTCATTTGTGACTTATCAAGTTTGAATGAATATTGAAGGCCATCCAGTCCAACCTGTAGCTCAGTGAAGGATCTTGTCCTATCCAGGCTAAACATACACAGCTGTTCCTTACTGGATTTGACCTTCACTATCCTGATGGCCCTCTTCTAGATGTGCTTGCTTAACAGTGTTCTTGATGCCCACAGTTAGGACAGAATCAGCATGTCCCAACCAGAAATCAGCAGGACTCCTTGTGATTTGAATGCTTTTCTTATCAAGTTGGTTCCAAGTTATGGTGACCACACAAAAGTGGTTTTCCATTCTCCTTTGCTGGAACACTTTGCAACTGTGCACCTTGGGTACATGGTCAGGGGTCAGAACACAATGAATGATCTTTACTAGGTTCTATTAATGTAGTCCAGTGGTTCCCAAACCTTTTGGACTTGTGGCTCCCCTGAGTGGCAGCAGGGGTGTGCGGCAAAGCAGGAAGAAAAGAAGCCTGAAGGAGCCAGAAGATCAGCACCGCTGATTGTGTCAAACAACAAAGAGAAGCTTCCACATTGCTCCTGGCTGGCTTGCTGGTATACCAGGGCATTATGGGGCACTGCAAGGGCCACAGGGTGCTATGGTGCACACATTGGGAACCCATGATGTAGCCTATGATTTTATGAGTAGTTCTGGCATCCACGCTGCACAACTGGCTCAAGTTCAAGTTATGATTCAATTTAGATTTTTCACATGTACTGCTGCTGCCAAGTCAAGATGTTTCTGCCTAGTATCTGGGCCTTTAAATTTTTCTGAATTTTAATTTTTTGGTAGTTACCCGTTGATTTTCATCTTTTTAGTACTCACTTTTTAAAACTGTCTAGCTTTGTGTCAGATGAAAATGTCAGTTTACAACAGTCCCATTCTTCAAAATACAGAAAATATGTAATACTTCTCCCACATTTAGAGCTTTCACACATTAAATTTAAAATATGGTATTTGTTATTTACTGCTTTGTCAGTAACAACATTCCCACTTTCCACATGTTGTATTCTTATGTTATTTTGTGATCAAAAAATCTTACTACTGGGGGGAACTTCCAAGTGTCTGCCATGTAAGCAGGAGATTTTCACTCTCCGGTGCCTCAGAATAACTTTCTTCAAATTGCACCCGTAAGAAAGCTACAAGGACAGAGTAAGTAATAAAGATGTACAGTGGTGCCCTGCTTCACGATGATGATCCGTTCCGTTAAAATTGCTGTAGAGTGAAATCGTCAAGCGGGGGGAAAAAACCACTGAAATGCATTAAAAATCGGTTAATGCGTTCCAATGGGCGAAATACCTCACTGTCCAGCGAAGATCCTCCATACAGCGGCCATTTTCCAGTGCCTGTAAAGCGAAAAATCAGTCCTGAAAACAGCGGGGAGCCATTTTGAAACCCAACTATCAGCTGTTTTTAGATCGTTGTAATGTGAAGAATCGGTTCCTGAAGCAGGGAACCAATCATCGTAAAACAAAAATTGCCATTTGAAACATCGTTTTGCGATTGCAATAGCGATCACTAAAACATCGTCGTGAAGCTATTTCAGCATCAAGCGGGGTAATCGTCAAGTGGGGCACCACTGTACTGTTGAAAATACCCACATCCTGATATAAACTGAAATTTGCAACTATGTCTTGCGGCATAACTAAAGTGGTTCACTTTAGTTATGCCTCAATACATAGTTACATAGTGTTGTTTTTTACCACTGGTAAACAGTCCAGTTTCTTCAGCTGTTTCTGAGTAAGCCAAACTAAAGCAAACATCTTAGATATGTCACTTTGTGGGGGGGGAAGTTTGGAGAGGGAGTTAATAAAAGCCTCATAGTTGACATGGAGATATGCCAAGGTAGACCAAGGGCCTTTGAAAAGCAAGATTTTAGCCCAGTGCCCCTGCTACAATACTGTGGGTGCTCATCCTGATTTCCATGCAACAAGTATGAGAACACCCTGGCTTTATATCTAAATGGGAACAGACAGGTGTTAAAATGCTCTCTTACATTGTTATTTTAATAATCAACAAGCATGATTTGTAGAACTAAAGTTTCTAAAAATGGAAACCCATTGTCTAGCGCAGTGGTTCTCAAACTGGGGCCCCCAGATGTTCTTGGACTCCATTTCCCAGAAGCCTTCACCTCTTGCTGTGCTGGCCAGGAATTCTGGGAGCTGCAGTCCAAGAACATCGGGACCCAAGTCTGAGAACCTCTAGGACAGGATGGTTTAGAGCAGCCATTCTCAACTTTTTTTTTTTTTTTTTTTTTTGGGGGGGGCTTTCTAAAGCCATTTAAGTAGTAGCCATGTTGCTTTGCGGCAATGAATTCCACATATTATGAACAGGACTCATACTGTTTTCTGTGGCCAGACATCTCCAAACAAGTCTGCCAAAAGCTTTTAATGCAGCTAAGAAATCCTGCTGGTAGAATAGAGGTAGAATAACCCCAATCTCTCTCCCTCTGAAACTTTGCATTCCACCCACGAAGCTGTTCCCTATGGCTGGAGAATGCCTACACCAGAGAATCACTAAGGGTGGCAACAAGGGAAACTGGCAAATATCAGATCCTTCTTCCCAAGGGCTTTCTGACAGTGAAGTGTTTTTAGCAGATCTTGGGGACTGTTCCCACTGATGGAAAAGGACCTACGCTGGGATACTGAACCAGGCTTTCCTTTCCCTTTTCTAAAGCAGCCCCTTCAGCACTTGGGAGGACTGGTGAATTGGGTGGAGATGGGGGATGCAGCAAAGCTGAGGAAAAAACTTCAGTTTCAAAGTTATCTTATGTGTGTGAAACTCCATTCACAGAAGGTGCCTCTGTTTCTCTTCTAGAATTCCCTACCTCCTTCTGTATCACAGCCATTCAGTAGCAGTATCCTGAATACACACTATAAAGTAACTAGCAAGCTGACTTATCAGAGGAGGGAAATCTTGTAAGTATTAATGACAAAACTGCACTGCCAAATGCTGCATTTGCTTTGGCTCTAACATAGAGGCAGTAGTGAGTAGCAAAGTCAGTGTGGATCATGCAACAGCCTTGCAGATGTCCGAAATGCTAATACCTTTCAAGGCCATGGAAACAGCAACAGCTCTGGTGGAGTGTGCTGTGAGAGAGAATTGTTAAAGCTTGCAAGCAAGATCATAAACTAGTTGGATTGTCGCCATGATCCATCAGGAAACAGTTTGTTTCCCCTATTGGGCCCACAGGAGGTGATGAAGAGTCTCTGGGATTTGTGAAATGAAGAAGTCCGGTATATGTATTATGTCAAAGCCCGATGAATGTCAAGGGAATGTAAAGCATGTTCAAGGTCATTGGACAGCAATGGAAAAAAGGTAGGTAAAATTATTACTTGTTTGATGTTTGTAAGATCATGCACCGTCGTGGAGAAGGTATCCCATTTGTAAGTATAAAGACAGGTGGTGGATGGCTTCCTAGCATGAATTAGAATATGAGCTATGGAGGATGGATTCTCCATGCTGTCAGGTGCACTGTGTGGAGATCAGGGTGGAAGGTCTTTCTGTGATTCTGCATGGGAAGGTGAGGGAGGAGAAGACAGAGGAAGTCGCTGGACACAGACCTCAGGGTGGTGAATCATGGCTCTCTGGGCCACCAAGGAGTTATTAGAATGGAATTCAATTTGTTTTGTTGGAGCTTGATGATGAGAGGTACCAGAGGGAAAAGGTAAAGAAGGCTGGGTGGCCAGGTAATCATGAACTCATCACCTAGGGACTCAGGACTGATCACTGCTCTGGAGCAGTAGTGTTTGCATTTGGTATTGTCTGCAGTGGCAAAGACATCTACAAGAGGGGGACCCCAATTCCTGCAAAGATGGAGGAACACGGAGTCATTGAGGGATCATTTATGTGTTTTGAGTGCAGAGCCTGATCAGTGCATCTGCTAAGTCTTGTGTAGAGTTGTGGACAGCCACTGGATAAATATGGCATTTGTAGCACCATTCCCACAGTTAAATGGTGAGGTAGAGGAGGGAGAAGGAATATGTGCCTCCCTGTTTGTTGATGTAGAACAAAGCCGTGGTGTTGTTTGTGGTGACCTGTGTACCATGTTCTGCAATTGGGCTTAAGGGCAGGGAAAGCCTTGATAATGGAGAGCAATTGATGTGAAGTTGTTGTTCCATCTGCAACGATGGAGCATGTATCTGAAGGTTGTTGCAATGTGCCCCCATCCAGTGGGGTTGGCATATGTAGTAAGTTGCACTGTAAGTTGGAAGGGCAAGAAAGGTCTGCTGATGAAGAGGTTGGGCGGTGTGTCCCACCAAGCAAGTTGGATAGCGAGTTCTCCTGTGACCCTGAGAAATTTGGTGCATTGGTCAAAAAGAGAGTTTTACAGAGTCAAATACCAAACTTTAAGTGACCTCATTTTTAGTCAGGCATTTTGTATCATAGAGGCCATTAATCCAAGTAGACACTGGACCTGGTGAGCCATGACAGTAGCATGAGGTTGGAAATGGTGCAGAAGTGTGTGCAACTTTTTCACCCATTTCTCTGGGAGGAAGGCGTGGGCCCATCTTGAGTTCAGAACAGCTCCTATGTAAGAAGTTGAGAAGGTTGCAGGATAGATTTGGCCATAATTACTCTGAGTCTCAGATCCACTAAGAGGAATAAGTGAGAGTTATGTTGCATAAATCCTTAAAAAGGGAAGGAGCAAGTAGTAACCAGTTGTTGATGCATGGGAATATGGTGACTCCACCTACATATAGATATGCGGCTACAGGGATTGTACATTTCATGAAGACTTGTGGAGAGGCTGAATGGGAGAGCCTTGAATTCATATGCAGAATCTCAGAGAGTAAATATGAGAAGTTTGCAATGGTCTATTTGGTTATATGGAAGTAAGCATCATTTACATCTA